GAGAGAGAGAGAGAGAGAGAGAGAGAGAGAGAGAGAGAGAGAGAGAGAGAGCGAGAGAGAGTGTCTGTGTGTGTGTGTGTGAGAGAGAGAGAGAGAAAGAGAGAGAGAGAGAAAGAGAGAGAGAGAAAGAGAGAGAGAGAGAGAGAGAGAGAGAGAGGGAGGGGAGAAAGAAAGTGAGCAAGAGAGAGAGGGAGAGAGAGAGAGAGAGAGAGAGAGAGAGAGAGAGAGAGAGAGAGAGAGAGAGAGAGAGAGAACGAGAGAGAGAGCGTGAGACTGAGACAGAGCTAGAGAGGGAGAGAGAAGGAGAGAGAGGGAGAGAGAGAGGAAGGAAGGAGAAATGGCGTAATCTGCATGCATGAGTGTATATTATCCTCGTATGACAATGTATATGTGCGTGCCTGCACGAGTGAACGAGCGTATGTGCGTGCGCGCGGGTGCGTGTGTGCACGTGCCAGTTTGGGTGAGGGATTGCGTGTGTGTGTGTGTTGGGTTTTTTTGTATGTGAGCGCGCATATGTGTGCGTTGTTCGCTCCGAAAAAAGGTGGGGGTGGGGGTGGGGGAGGGGCGCGGTAAGAAACAACAGCTATAGTATAGCCTCTTGCTCTTGTCTTACAAACCTCGTAATAAACTGTCTCAGACAATCTACCCCACTGAAATAATATATGTCCATAGAACGAGAAATCCTTCTCATTGCCGTCTTCCTATGGGAGAAAAGGGTAAAACAAATATTTAAAAGACACGAGACTACTATTCTAGCGCAACAAGCATGCATGAGCTCGTATGTATCATAATAATAAGTAAAAACAAGGTTGCAATTGGAATCCTTTGTATGATGACGTTGCTGGAAGTCCGGGCCTTTTTAAATGCATATAATATGTATATGTGCGGATAGACTAAAGCATTTGAGGAAAACGTTCCCCAGCGCCGCTTGCTACGATGTCATAATAATCTATGTTACACTGCTAAGATTTAGTATAATACACTGCTAAGATTTAGTACAATATTACGTTACAATAATGTAGTTGAAAAAAAAAACTACCATTACTGATGTAAAGTTAAAAAGCACACGCTAGTTATTCTCCTGTAGACTGATTTATATCATTCGTTGACATTCTTTATTTTGATTTGAATGATTTTTGTTTTTTTTTTTTTTTTTTTTTTTTTTTTTTTTTTTTTTTTTTGTTTGTGTTCACGACATACTTCAGCTTACTCCCAAGTTCAGATGTTGAACTGGTCATTTCTAATAAACTTTTGATGAATTATATTTCCCTCTGTGTCCTATAAATGATTCGTCTTTGAGTGTGCAAGCGAAGATCTATAGATTGAAAGCGGAGACTCAATCTTTTCTTCAATGTCGAGAGAAAAAAAGAAGAGAAAGAGTACCGGCGCGTTATGGTTGTACCTGGAAATGGAGCTGTGCATAGAAGACGCTGTTGAGACACATTTTTAAAATACTACTTTTTTTAGTAAGAGTTTTATAGCATTCGCAACATATACTTGACTGCACTGAATGGACCCGGTAAGAAAATTTCAAATCTCAATTATTATTTTTTAAAGTTCTAGTAAGGGTTTTACGGAACATGCAACACAATAAGGTCATAAAAGGGTAAAAGATTAGAGATGTTACAAGAGAGTAACAAACACAAAAAAGAAGGAGAGATCACGACAATATGTTTGATAGGAAAGAAAGAGCAAACCACAGCGGAGCACCCCTTAACCACCTATTTTCACAACTCAGGAATCAAACCAATGTCTTCTATACACAACAGCAAAGAGCCTAACATCTACACAACAGACACCACTACACAGAACAAAACATTGAAATTGAAGACAATAACAACTGCTTTTAAACATCTGAGCATTCTTTATTTATCTTCAAAATACAAAGTAGAAAAACTGGAACTAACACAGACAGACAGACAGTCGCCATTGTCATCTAATATCATTTAGCACAAACAGTTGTACAACATTTTAAAATCCCAGCAGGTACATTCGTGAAAGTCAATGACAACCTTTTCTTTCAAAAACCATGCATTTGGATAAACATCTCTCTCTCTCTCTCTCCCTCTCGCTCTTTCCTCTCTCTCTCTCCCTCTCTCTCTCTCTCTCTCTCTCTCTCCCTCTCTCTCTTTCTCT